ATATATATATATATATATAATATATAGTATATATATATATATATATATATATATATATATATATATATATATATATATATAATATATATATAATATATATATATATATTGTATATATATATATATATATATATATATTATATATATATATATATATATATATATATATATATATATATATATATATATATATATATATATATATATATATATATATATATATATATATATATATATATATATATATATATATATATATATATATATATATATATATATATATATATATATATATATATATATATATATATATATATATATATATATATATGTATATATATATATATATATATATATATATATATATATATATATATATATATATATATATATATATATATATATATATATAGTATATATATATATATATATATATATATATATATATATATATATATATATATATATATATATATATATATATATATATATATATATATATATGTATACATATATATATTATATACATATATAATATACATATATAATATATATGTATATATATATATATATATATATATATATATATATATATATATATATATATATATATATACACACATATATATATATATATATATATATATATATATATATATATATATATATATATATATATATATATAACCATATACATATACATACACACATATATATACATATATAAATACATATACATATTACACACATATATATACATAAATAAACATATACACATATATTAATTTATATATCGGTTTGAAGTGCTTGGTATTCTGCAGGACCCTGCTGTACTGTGGGATACCTTTAAGCGAGAAACTCCGTTAGCTGCCGAGGAGTGCCTTGGGGTCCGACCTCGGCGAAGGAGGCGTGTTGTCTCAGACGAGACACTGAACCCTAAAGAGATGAGTCATGCTGCCAGACTGGATGGGAACCATGTCTTGCACAGGGAGCTGTCTCGCTCTGCTAGGAACTCTTTGAGAGTGGACCAAGAGAGGTACGTTAGGGGCATCGTGGAAGAGTTGGAAGGTCATTTTGCCCAAAATGACCTTCGACCTGCTTTCCGAGCCCTGAGGGAACTCCGATCAAAGTCCATCTCTCAATCGGGCTCGGTGAGGGCAGAGGATGGTCGCATTGTGTCAGAGCCGGGTGAGTATAGGGCCCGCTGGGCTGAGTACTTTGAACAACTGTATAGGGTAGATCCCCCGTCTTCACAACTCCCGTTGGCTGGCACACAGCCACTAGTGGCTGATCCACCAATCAGTGAGGCACCACCTTCCATCGAAGAGGTGAGAAGGGCGGTCTCTAAGCTGAAGAGTGGAAAGGCTGCTGGTGTCTGTGGGATTGCTGCAGAGTTGTTGAAGGCAGGTGGAAAAGCCATGATCTGTGGTTTGCATGCAGTCCTGTCTGCCGTTTGGGAGACTGGTACCATTCCCCCTAACTGGAAAAGGGGCTTGATCATCCCTATCTGGAAAGGGAAAGGGGGCCAAAAGGACTGTGGCAACTACAGAGGTATTATATTGATCAGCGTACCAGGCAAGGTCCTCGCACATCTACTTTTGGCACGAGTGCGCGACCACCTATTACGAGCACAGAGACCTGAGCAGTCTGGGTTTACACCCAAGAAGTCAACTATAGATCGTGTCTTAGCACTTCGTATCCTTGTGGAACGCCGACTTGAGTTTCAACAAGGTATGCTTGCAGCTTATGTTGATCTCAAGAAGGCTTTCGACTCAGTGCACCGGGAGAGTCTCTGGAGCCTACTGGGTCTCCGTGGGATCCCCCCTGGAATTATTGGTTTGCTGTCTGGTCTGTATACAGATACTGAGAGTGCTGTCAAGTGTGGGGTGGGCATCTCTGCCTTTTTCCCGGTGTCTGCCGGGGTGAGACAGGGATGTGTCCTGGCCCCAACCCTTTTCAATACTTGTATGGACTGAATACTTGGCCATACCGTGAACTGTAGTTCCTGTGGGGCATCAATTGGTATTTTCAAGGTCACAGACCTTGGCTTTGTCGATGATGCAGTGATTCTAGCGGAGACATTAGAGGTCCTGGAAGTAGCTGTCGAGGCACTGCATGAGAATACATATATGTGAATACATATATTCACATACACATGTATATATATATACATGTATAGAGATAGTCCCCTACTTAAGAACATTCTACTTGTGAACATTCCATACATACAAACAAATATTTTTAAGTACTAAAGTCCCAAGAATTATTTGAAAGATGCTAGCTAACTTCAAATTTCCGGGGAACGAATATAGTTCAAGAGTCTGGTACTGTATAAGGTATGTCGTACTTATTGGGATTTATTTACAGGTATTCTTAATGTAAACAAAACTTTAAAACAATGGGGAAAAAAGGTAATGGAGACCCGACTTTCGACATACAAACAAATCAACTTACAAACAGCCTCTCGGTCCCCATTATGTTCTTAAGTTGGGGACTTACTGTATATACATAAATATGTAATATATATACACATAAATATATACATATATATATATATACATACATATACATAAATATATATACATAGATACATAAATGTATATATATATGTATCCCAATGCTGCAGGGGAAAATGAATTTTAAAAATTGGGAAAAAATTATGTACTCATTTTTTATATTTGTTGTGCAATTGCCACAAAGGAGTTAATTAGTAGACCTTGTGACCTTACCTGATTTCACCTTTCCTTGTATTGGCATGAAAAATGTATTTTTTAATAGTGCAATGAATATTGATGGTGTTATTTTTATTATAAACATTATAATTATTATAATGTTTTGAACATTAGAACAGCAAAATAAGATAACGTAAAATATTTTTATAAATCAAAGAAAAGGGTAAACGGGTGAGACTGGTAGTACTCGTAACTGGCTCATTGGTGATTTTGTACAAGTGTAGCGATCTATGTGTCAAAACAATTAAACAACTAAACTCACAGTGGGCATGGCATACACGTACATGTCATGCCCATCAGTATTGGAATATATATACATACATATATACATATATATAAATTATATAAATATATACATATTTATATATATATACATACATATATGTGTATGTGTTGATGTTATTGCATCATGTACATTCTAGCTGTAATGACAAACTATTGCTTATAATGTTAATGACTAATAATGACACTGATAACTTAACCCATGACTGCCGGGGAATAAATAATGTGGAAAATGCTGTGCTCATTTTTTATATTTTTTATGAAATGTCTCTACACATATATGGCTCTGCTAGTGCTTACCCTTACCTGATTTCACCTTTCCTTGAATTGGCAGGAAAAATGTATTTTTTACTAGTGCTAATAATATCAATGGTGTTATTTTAATCATAAACATTATAATTACTATAATGTTATAAACATTATAGCAAAATAAGATAACGTAAAATATTTTTGTAAATTAAAGAAAAGGGTAAATGGGCAAGACAGGCAGTACTTGTCATTAGCTCATTGGTGATTTAGTACAAGTGTAGCCATCTATGTGTAAAAACAATTAAACAAGTCGGGAATGGGTTAACCTAACTACCACAGATTTATGTTCTGTCCCCTGTAGTTTTTTGTGAATTTTGTTACATACAGATGGCTTCACATGTGCTCAGCTGGCAAGGAGTCAATCAGTAGGCCTTAGTGACCAATCCTCATTTCACCATTCCTTGAACTGGCAGGAAAATGTGTTTTTCTTTTTAATACAATTGATTTTGATACTGTTTTTATTTTCATGTATGTTATGATTATGTAATTGTAATTTAAGTCTTGGTAACATTCAAGATAATGAAATAATACAAAAGACACTTTCCAAAAGTCAAGGAAAAGGGTAAACAGGTGAGAAAGGTAGGACTAATAACTGACTCCTTGGTGATTGAGCACTTGAAGAGCCATCTATGTGTAAAATACAGTAAGTCCCCGACTTACGAGCATTCTACTTATGAACATTCCATACATACGAACAAATTTTTAAAAATAGTCATGTCCAAAAAATTGTTTGAAAGATGCTAGCAAACTTCAAACTTCCCAGGCGCGAATATAGTCAACGAGTCTGCCACGACGTGGCGCTGCCGCGCTCACTCATCTGTGCGCATCACTTGCCTCAGTCACCTGCCCTCCCACAATAAACACAAAAGCATCTGTTCACTGTGTCCTTGTGTACCGCCAATTTTTGTGCCATAATTTGCTTTACCTGTGCATCAATCCATCAAAAATACTTATTGGGATTTATGTACAGGTATTCTTAATGTTAACAAAACTTTAAAACAATGGGAAAAAAGGCAATGGAGATCTGGCTTTGGATATACGAACAAATGGAGTTACGAACAGCCTCTCGGTCCCCATTATGTTCGTAAGTTGGGGGACTTTCTGGACAATAAACTTACATTCCAGTGGGCATGGCATGTATTCTTGCCATCTGCGTCAATTGGGTTAAATGAAAAGAAAGAACAATGTGAAACACAAGCACAGATAATCATGGAAATGGTTTAGTTCACATAAACTGTAATCCTACTATGACCCAGATGGGTATGCTGAGGTACACTGACTATATTTTGAAAATCATATTGAGGTTTGGGGAGGAAGGGGAAGAGATGTCATAGAGAGTGGAAAGGTGGTAGGAAAATGAGGCAATCTAGAAAGTTCATTTTATATATGCCCAATGGACATCTTGAAGGCAAGTGTCTTGGAGGTAAATGTTACTTTGTGATACAGTATATGTGCTTACTTATATTGGTCAGATTCTCTAATAATGTATTAATAAAGTGTCATATGACAATCATTCCATAATAACTGCCAGCTGCAGCACAGCAGTAGCAGTTATAGGCAACTTCACAAATGGGAGTGTTACCATATGTACCATGCTTCCAGTAAGGGTTATGCTATCTATGTTTTCCTTTTATTTGTCCCAACTGTACCTGACACCCATGGGTTAAATGAAAAAATGTTCATATTTGTATATATATATATATATGCTCACTTAAATACTATATTTAAATACGTGGTTTTATTCTACACAGATGATCTTATGTGTTTCTCAAAAGAACATACCCTTTTTATACTATTCATCCAGCTCATCCCAGATGCCTTATAAATGCCTAAGACCTCAAAATAATCACATGCAAGGAGACTTCTTTTCATTCATGATGTGTAGCACATTCTGTATAACTTCTATGACATGATATTCTGCAACTATAACAATTCTTTCTGTTTTCATATAGTGTAAATATCACATTTCTTTAAATTATTTACAAAACATTTAAACACCAATTTCAATAATAAGTTGTATAAAAAAAGCTGGAAAATGGGTACTCCCTCCTATGACCTATACAACCTTTGGGAATTGCATACTATAAACTTATTGGAAAAAAAGAAAGAAAAAAAAACATATTACAATTGGTAAAATTAATAATAAAATACCACTGTTAAACAGGCATATCTGAGGTCTATATCCACTAAACTTTATTTTAAAAAGATTTAATACATAAAATCCAACATATAAAAATAAACATTTAACTGCATCAGTTAAATTAGTAATGACACATTTTTTTTTAATAAAAAACAAATACAACATTAAAGTATTTAATTATTCTTTTCATGCAAACTAATGGGCAACTTGGTAATACTAGTACTAAATAAAAAGGGAACCTTTAATAATTACCAGGAACTCTTCATATATAATGCTAAATAAAATTAGTAAAGAGAACGACTAAAATTTTATATAAATAGTTGTTGTTTTTTTGTCTCCATATCATGTTTTCTTACTTTCTGAATCAATTACTTAGACAACATCTATCACC